AATCAAAACACACGGAAATTTAAATGGAAAAACCTTGCCCGAGCAGTATCTGCTGGGTTTAATCATGGCTCTGTTATACCAGTAAGTGCAGGAGCCCTCCTGTGATCTCTTTTTTTCTACAACAGACCACAGATGGGAAATGGCAGGATGGCCTTGAGAACTGAGGGGGTTTTGTACCGTGCAAGGCCGCACTGTTTCACAACACGTTTTCAAGTTCTTTCCAGCTCCTTCACATGAAGCTGGAGCCACCCCCATCAGCTGCAGTGAAAAAATACAGCATTTCTCTGTGAACCACGTCCGTGCCAAAGCATGTGCTGAGCTGTGCACCCCAGGACACCCCAGCCCCACGCACCCGGCAGGGCTCAGAGGCATGGCCACAGCACGGCTCCATCAGTCCACACAGTCTTGGGATTGTGAAATAAATCCTCCAGTTTAGGTTCACATGGTGTGCGACCAGAAGCAGGCAGGCAAAAATCCTGTGCTGAGTTGGGGCTCTACGCTGTCCCCATCCTCTGTGTGTCCCTCGGGAGTGGGGACCCGGCAGCAACTCGGTCGGGGTCCCGATGCCCCCAGGAGTCAGCACTGGGCTGCTGCTGCCTGCTGTGCCTGGTACAGATGGGCTGGAAGGTTCCCTACAGCCTTCCTGGGAGTAGTTTGCAGGTCCCAGCATCTCTGCTGGGTTACGTCCTCTTGCCAGAAAGGTGGCACTGAGTACCTGACCCTCCTTAATTTCTCTGCAATGAACAGATGTTTTTTGGAAAAAAAAAAAAAAAAAAGCCTTTTGGAGATGCTGAGGTTGAAAAAAGCAAACAAATCCAGGTCACCCTGGAGAAAATGCTTGTGCTCAAAAATGCAAGCATCCCATTTTCACTTTTTTGACATGATTATTTTTTCCTTTTTTTTTTTTTTTATTTTGCAGGCTGCCAACACTTTTGAAGAGACATTCAAAAGGGTTAAAATACTGTGTGACCACCCAAAAGATTTTTTTCCCCTGTGTTTTTATTGTACTGAATAAAAACTTTTTTGTTCAAATAAACTTGAAACAATTCCTTCTCCTCC